GCGAGGACTAAGCAAAGGTAAAATATTCTTTGTATGTTAAACCATAAAATGTTAAGGGGGTGTACTTACTTTTTCACAATGCTGTATAGGTGTATGTACATATGCTGTATATACTGTACATATACAGTGGTGTGAAAAAGTGTTTGCCCCCTTCCTTATTTCTTATTTTTTTGCATGTTTGTCACACTGAAATGTTTCAGATCATCAAACAAATTGAAATATTAGACAAAGATAACACAAGTAAACACAAAATGCAGTTTTTAAATGAAGGTTTTTATTATAAGGGAAAAAAAAATCCAAACCTACATGGCCCCATGTGAAAAAGTGATTGCCCCCTAAACCTAATAACTGGTTGGGCCACCGTTAGCAGCAACAACTGCAATCAAGCATTTGCGATAACTGGCAATGAGTCTTTTACAGTACTGTGGAGGAATTTTGGCCCACTCATCTTTGCAGAATTGTTGTAATTCAGCCACATTGGAGGGTTTTCGAGCCTTAACCGCTTTTTTAAGGTCATGCCACACCATCTCAATCGGATTCAGGTCAGGACTTTGACTAGGCCACTCCAAAGTCTTCATTTTGTTTTTCTTAAGCCATTCAGAGGTGGACTTGCTGGTGTGTTTTGGATCATTGTCCAAGTGCGCTTCTGCTTGAGGTCACGAACAGATGGCCGGACATTCTCCTTCAGGATTTTTTGGTAGGCAGCAGAATTCATGGTTCCATTTACCACAGCAAGTCTTCCAGGTCCTGAAGCAGCAAAACAGCCCCAGACCATCACACTACCACCACCATATTTTACTGTTGGTATGATGTTCCTTTTCCGAAATGCTGTGTTACTTTTACGCCAGATGTAATGGGACACACACCTTCCAAAAAGTTCAACTTTTATCTCGTCAGTCCACAGAGTATTTTCCCAAAAGTCTTGGGGATCATCAAGATGTTTTCTGGCAAAACTGAGAGGAGCCTTTATGTTCTTTTTGCTCAGCAGTGGTTTTCGTCTTGGAACTCTGCCATGCAGGCCATTTTTGCCCAGTCTCTTTCTTATGGTGGAGTCATGAACACTGACCTTAACTGAGGCAAGTGAAGCCTGCAGTTCTTTGGATGTTGTTGTGGGGTTTTTTGTGACCTCTTGGATGAGTCGTCGCTGCGCTCTTGAGGTAATTTTGGTCGGCCGGCCACTCCTGGGAAGGTTCACCACTGTTCCATGTTTTCGCCATTTGTGGGTAATGGCTCTCACTGTGGTTCGCTGGAGTCCCAAAGCTTTAGAAATGGCTTTATAACCTTTTCCAGACTGATAAATCTTAATTACTTTGTTTCTCATTTGTTCCTGAATTTCTTTGGATCACAGCATGATGTCTAGCTTTTGAGGATCTTTTGGTCTACTTCACTTTGTGAGACAGGTCCTATTTAAGTGATTTCTTGATTGAGAGCAGGTGTGGCAGTAATCAGGCCTGGGTGTGGCTAGAGAAATTGAACTCAGCTTTCCAAAGATGTGATAAACCACAGTTGATTTATGTTTTAACAGGGGGGAATCACTTTTTCACACAGGGCAATGTAGGTTTGGATTTTGTTTTCCCTTGATAATAAAAACCTTCATTTAAAAACTGCATTTTGTGTTTACTTGTGTTATCTTTGTCTAATATTTCAATTTGTTTGATGATCTGAAACATTTCAGTGTGACAAACATGCAAAAAAATAAGAAATCAGGAAGGGGGCAAACACTTTTTCACACCACTGTAGCTGCAAAGAGGGGTCTAGTTGCAGCCTGGAGAAAAGCATTTACATTTTCATGGCTCTTTCTGTAATTCCAGGGAGGGGGAGGGGCAGGTGGTTTGGCTTTTAAGACAACATGCCCAAGGTCATTTGTTTCTGTGAAACAAATGTTTGAAAAATCAGCCACTTATTTTGTGGCTGCAGTGTGAGCCTTTGTGTGAGTCAGACATTGTAGGATCTTTGGCCTTTGTGCTTTATACAGTACTTCAGATATATTCTTCTGTCTTTTACAATGAAAAGGCCTTGAGACCAAACATCAATTTCTGTTAAGCTCAAATTTATTCTCAAATGTCAATATTATACTTTACAATGCTGTTAATGACCTCCCTTGGTTTATTCATTGAACTGGTTTCCATTCTGCTTTTCTTACCTTTTTAGTCTAGAAAAACGTGTGAGATATACACAAAGGGAAGATTGACAACAGCGTAAATGCTAATGGTAGTTTGAAAATGTGTATGTCAGTAAGGAATTTGTCATGGCAGAATTTGAAGACATTTTTTGATTATAACATTTTGTGTGAATATTTTAAGATTCAAGGTGTTCAAAAATTAATTAGGTACTTTGAGGATTTATCTAGATAACTTAAGTTTGTATGCTTGCAGTGATTAAACTTTTAATGAAGAAAAATAATGCTTAGAACATGTAAGTATTTATATTTATTAGTCATGGTAGTGTAAATGTCTCCATAAATAATGCATGCTACAAAATTAACAAGTTGCAGTGCTATTTTATTTGGTTTTATCTTACTGGACATGTACACTCATTTTGCTTATTTTATTGCCCTGTGGTGTTTGCCCTCTGTGAGCTAATGTCAACATGAAATGTATCAAGACGTGATGAAACTTATAACATGTCCAACAGGTTAATGAATTTCATCCTGGGCTACGAGTTCAATACTCATCTCAGTGAGATGACGTTCAGCTCAGTGTCTCCAGGCATGCGGTGAATTGCATTTTAGTTCTGTGATTTATTATTGGAGAAATACTAACTTTTATATTATTTTCTTGATAAATTTGTGGTCAGGAGGACTGAGCTTTATGTCATATCAAATAGGTGTATTTCATTTATCATCCGGAGAAAGGGGACAGCACATGGTTTAGGATCGTTTGGATGTTTTTCTTGACAGCACTGTAAAACATGTTAGTGAAAGCCATGGGAATTTATAATTTCTTACAAAGGGGAACCACAGCAAGACCACTGGCGGGAGTTTCATTTGGACTCTTCTAATAGCCTCAAGAGGTTACACCCTGTCTTATTGCAAACAGGTAGAGATCCCTCTGAATAGCACTTTGTACAAGAGCAAAAAGGGAGTTTACCCCATGCTGGCTAGACCTTGAAGCTTCACGTTGTGTTTTTCTCATCCTAGTTGAGTCACAGTGCAGTACCAAACATCTGATCATTGTAAATTTTTAGCTTAGTTATTTGACAGTAACAGTTAGACTGCTGCCTACATAGTGATAGCAGGGGTGATTGGTATGGATGACTGCTCTGATCTCTGTGTCTTTGATACGGGCTGCATGATGGCTTTGATGTACACGAATGACATCTCCCTTTCCACTGTATGTGTGTTTGCTGCAGCTGTCAGTGAGCCAGACCTACTGTAGATGTCTGTAGTAAGGGGGATAAGTGTTTATGGTTTTATCACCCAATAATAGGGAAAAGTTTTTCCACAAGCCGTAAAATAGTGTTTGTGTTTTTTTGTGGTAGGGTGGTAACTTTTGTATGTATAAGGCCATTCATTCTGGGGACCATTAATGTTGGGGTGTCCATTTACTGAAGCTTGATTGAAGTTGTATTGGTTGAGCTGTTCATAGAGTATGCTTTGACCCTTATCAGTCTCTGGGCTGTTTGGAAAAGATTAACATAAACAATTAACTGATCAGAAGTAATCTGCTGTTAGCAGGTGTACTGGTTTTATTAAAATAATAATAACTTGAAGGTAATGTTGCCTATATCATCATTATAATCATCATCATCTCTTTTAAAATGACCTCTATTTGTGATAATACAGCTAATTGAGTACCATGTCCATTTTTGGCAGATAATTACCAGCAGGGTATGAAAAGTGAGGTATGACAATACAGTTTTAGAGGATGATATTTTGTGTTATTTGTGTGAATTAATATTGATTTTTCCCTCTGAGCAAAAACAGAATCATACCATATATTTAAATACACACTATTTGGATACATTAAATTTTAACCAGGATAAACATGATTTAGTTTATCTGCAGGTAATTAACTTTCATTATTCTTGGCACATTTTTACATTTGGCACATACGTTGTGCATAAATCATTTCAACTATGAGCCATCAACCTCTGATTTAATGACAAAATAAACTCCAGTGTTTTGCACTTACGATATTGATGCTTTCAATTACACCTGAAATCATACATACTGAAACCATCAGTCTGCATAAAACAACCAGAATATAATAAGGATCAGTTTTAGGATGCCTTAAGATAAGAGGCGATGGACTTGAGAAGCAGAGACTGAAGTCTTTGTATAAGAGGTACTTCATTGGCAGAGCTTAGCTGCATCACTGTCAATGTGAGAATACAGAATTTCACTGCCACACTGGTCTTATACAGTAGAAATATTGGCCAATAATTTAAAGAAATGCACAAGTAATACGTTTCTTAATATGTATGCATATCAAATTGCAATGTACCATTTCCTCTGTGTAGAATTTTCATGGTTTATTTAAGTCCAGGCGACTTAATTTGGGATCTTTGCTGTTTATTTGTTCCTTGAGTTTTTCATAAACATCCACGCACTCTTTGAGAAGTACTTTCCTTCTGATGTCCAGTGGCCCCCTTCAATGCAGTTGTTGAATTGTTTAATATGCGTATAATTAAAAGTTGGTCTTGCATAATGAGAGTTGTTGAATTAAGATCATATTGTAATAGAATATATGTTTTGCAAGTAATTTCATCAGCACTGCGCACTGATTATTTTTTGAAAAATTAAAATCCATCAGCACTGAAAAGACTTTTAGTAAAAAACCTGAATATGTTTAATGGCTGATAATATTGTAATGAGAAAATCAGATAAGAGTAATAAAAATACTGATCAAGTTTCGTAATTTTATCCAATCAGAATGCTTAATTAATCCATTTGGTATTTAATTTTTACTCAGTATTGGTATTACCATGTTATTGTACAAAACAAATGTATTTCTCTTTAGCTTTGGCATCATTCTGATTGCTTTGGTTCTTTCCCCCAGGCAATGGTCCACACCATGATAGATGTTGTGTATTCAATGAGAGCAACGTGGTGGATGGTGTCTACTGTCACCCACCAGGTCACTGGATCGAAACTTCTGGGTATACCAATGAAATGAAGCACACCACTGATTTCTATTTCCACATTGCAGACCACCAGTCCATGCATTACTCACGGTAAGTGTCTCAAGATGCATTACAATGTTGAACGGAAAGTTCATGAAAGTCTCCGCAGTCAATCTGTTAGCAGGGACACGCACTACTCTTCACACCCAGCTGCACTGCCCCTTTCTGACTTGCAGAAATAAGGCAGAGCCGTGTCTTACTCAGCCCATTCCCATTCAATACAGAATGCATTGTGATTTATTGTTATGTGGTTTTAGCTCTGCTGTTCAGATTAAGGGATTGAAGTGAATGACTGTTGATTTCCTTTTTGTCTTACCCCCTCCACCAAAAGAAAACAAACAAGTGCCAAGCTCAGTTTTTTTTGGACACAGGTGCATTGTTTTCTCATCAGAAAAACTAACAATGTGTGTTTTGTTTCCCCTAAAAGCCTCAAAAACCATGCCGGTGTAGATTACGCATTTCTTTAAGGAGTCTAGACTTGACTGATTTAAATAACTGCTAGGCGCAACAGTGGGATACATCTCTTTCTCTCACAGCTTGTCATGCAATTAGCTTTACGTTCATCGAGGTTTCATCTGCTGTAAGAGCAAACAACTAAACTGTACTGCAGTATGAAAAACAATGTTAACAATGAAATCTACCGGCAAGGCATATGGAACTAAGAAGGAATTGAGTTTTGCATCCATGCTGGTAAAGGTATGATGTCTAAATGTGATATTGTATGTCTTTCCATTTGTTTACCCCATTGAATGTTTTTTGTTAGTTGTAGTGTAATCCATTTGAAGCATTATTGATGTAGAATGTTGCAATGGTAACATTTCAATATCTTTCAGACATCAGAAGAAAATTATTACCATGGTAAACTTCATCTTGAATACGAGTGGTATTTTAGTTGACTGTTCTTAATAACTTTGCACAATAATTTTTAGAATGCAGGTCACATCATTTGTATTCTTTTAACAAAAGCCATTGTTTGCCTGCTGCTTGAGAGGCGAGACAGAAATGCCATGTGTACAAAATGTTTAAATGCAGCCAAATTAATACGTTTCCCCAAGGCGGAGTGGTCTTTTGCAAAGTGGTGTGCCACTTAATAGGGACTTTAAGCATGCATCCCTATGAAGAATATTCAAATTGCTTTTTATCATAATGTGCTTTCATACTAATCTCTTGCAGGCAATCATTTTATAGAGCTTTCTTGTTACTAAAAAACAAGAAACAAAGTCTGCATTGGAACACAATGCGACAGGAAAGAGGAACACAAAGATTTTAACCTAGTTTCTGACATTTTTGGGATTGTGAGAGTAGGATTTAATGTTTCATTATTTAGCTTGAATAAGTATTAAGTAGTCAGTGAAACAGTAGTAAAAACAGTAGTTTTGAAACAGTTCTAAAAATATTTCTGTGTGAATATTTTCATTAAATAATTTTGCACCTTGGTACAGCTAATATAAATATAACTATAGTGTATAATCTTTCCAGTTTTAACTTTAAAGCATCATTTCCAATGAAATTCTCATTAGTTTCAGAGATCATTTTTATTTTTATTCAGCCACCACTTTAGTTTTTCATTAAACAAAAAAGGAAAGGTTAAGATGGAACAGTATCAGTAAGATTTCTCTGGTTTCCTCATGGATCACTAGTTCCTTAAGAGTCTTTTGAATTTGTTAGAAAGCAGCAGATAAAAAATTTAAAGACCTCAAATTGATCTGCAAGAGCAAGCTTCTGGGCGTATTTCTTCCTCAATAACAGTAAAAAATGTAATGGTTAAGTGAGGATTCTTAAAATGGTGTCTGAAATACCACCAGTGTGTCATTGTCAGCAGTGTTTCTGGCAGCCCATTGCTCTTCTTGCAAGTGAGCAAGTGAGAAGAGGATTGCTTTATTGTCTTTAACTATGTACACAAGGCTAAACCACCCAAACAAATCTGAGAACCATAAATGCAGTTCTGATCTCATCAGGGTCCTTGAGATGGAAGAATGTTTCCGACCCCACACACGGAGCAGGAACAGTAACATTCTGTTCCCAAGGCAGCTTTTCTAGCTCCAGGTTGTCCCCCTGCCAAATGTCATCTGAGGGAGAAACATCTGCCACACTGTCCCCTCCTGGCCCAGTGTGGCAGGCTCAGGCCTGGTCCCCCAGTCTCCCCCTGCTCCAGGGCTCAGATCTGGAAAGGTGTGGTAGAGAGCCAAGCTGTCCCATTTAAGTGTAGGCGCAAAGCATATTATTTCACTTACAATTAGGTGCTATTAAAGATTATATGAGATCTTTCTGTTGCCTTTACCAAGCAGCTGGGGCCCCTTAGTAAAAACAGAGGACTGCGGCAAAAGGTCCCGCGTGTGACAAGAAAGATGATCAAGATCCAGAGCACAGACCATCATAAAGCTGCACACTGTAATGAGATGGTGCAGCTCAGCTCCAAACACTGCATTTACTCTATGAGAATATATAGGTGCATAGCATTCTAATTCTAATCGGTTATTCTCATGCAAATCAAATCAGAGACAAGCCTATTTTATAGAGTTTTCTTTTGTTTTTGCAATCACAAGTGGCTATATTGTGGTCAGCACTTTAAATTGTTGAAAGGGAGTCAAATGATGAAAGTGCCTTGAGTTTTGATAAATTAAATCTGCTGTTTTGAAACACTGTAATGATGTCTCCTTTGTTTAAAAATCTGCATATTTAAAAGTGTTTCTGTTAAAATTTACTGTGGCATAGTATACAGTTTTAGGTTTTGAATATATTTTTTTTGTGTATAATTCATGATGGCTTATAAAACCTGAAAAATTATAAGTAAAGGGGTTTTTCAGGTCTTAGAATTACCCAACATGACAAGGGCATTTTGATGACAAGGTCATGGCTACTAATTCATGGAAAAATGCAGCATTTTGTTCTTTGTTTCCCTTAAAGAAACCTGAGACCACTAAACTAAACAGTTTAAACAGTCTGCAATAGTACACAGTCTAGTATGTCTAGCCTAGTGTAGATGTCATTCTGTAACAACCTTAAATGTTTTTCTCTACTTCACTGGTAAAACCCCATAATAACGTCTCACTCCTGAATTACAAATTTGCATTCATCCATCTATCCCAGTATTTATTGATCATGTACAGCATCAGTATTACTAATGTAAACTTGCCGAAGCAGAACCACCTCCTTACTGTAGGTGTCTGCCACTGTGTCACTGCCTTCACTGCCAAGGAATGTTCTTGGGTTAATTGGTTAATAATGAGTTAACAATTACTGTAATTTCATGACTGGTGTATACTTGTGTATCAAATAAATCCCCATATTCAGTAGGACTAGATTAATTTGTGTAAAAATGCTAACTTAATTTATGCTATTTACTGTGAAGGAAATGGATTATAAATGAGGAATGTGGAAATGTGGTGGAATCACATATAACAATGTTAAACAGATGGCCACCATGCGCATAAACATAAACATCTTCTGTTTCCTTCCCATGCCAGCTTCCATTATAGGTGTTGACTTAATAATAATTTATTATAATTTCTTGCATTTATATAGCAGTTTTCTTTTCATTATGTACTGTTTGGCATATAAAATGGGACTCAACCAAAGTGCAGGACATGTCTACTATGTGATGCACAGCACTACTGTAATTAGTCACTGCAGCTGACCATAACAAAGATCAGGTGGAGGAATGTAAATTTACTTGATCTAATTTTAAGTTAATGAACTAAGGGAGAATTTTAAGCAGGCCACATTGTGCAAACAAGAACTTGAATTTAGCCAGTACACAAGGAATAAGAACCCCTATTAATAACTTTTGGTGCACTAAGGTAGAAATTCTCTACAGATGTTGCTGATCTGATTTGGTATACATCACCATCAAATATCGCTTTTTTTAGTTACCGAGGGAATTTTCCGCTGTTATTATGACTGCTGAGTGCATTCATCCGCATACTGATGCTGAAGCATTCAGCAAAGGTGCCCTTTGATGGACTGGTGTCCCATCCAGGATATATCCTGCCTTGAGCCCATTGCTTACTGGCATAGGCTGTGGCTTCCATGGGACCCTACACTGGATAAAGTAGTTAGAAAATAGTTGGACGGATTGATGGATCAAGATGGCAGTTGGTGGCCAGTTCCTAAGAGTCAACCACAGAAAGAGAACCCAAACTCAACAGTTTATCCAAAAATGTTATAACAAAAATATGTTCTGCAGGCTCTGCAAACATGAGATGTCATGGTACAAATGTGGAAAAAACCTCTCCACGTCCTCAGAAGCCATGAATCTGAAGATGTCTACCAGCTTTTCCTATAATAATAATAATTCTTTACACTTATAAAGCGCTTTTCTGGACACTCCACTCAAAACACTTTACAGGTAATGGGGACTATGTGTAGCCCCACCTGGATGACGTGATGGCAGCCACAGTGCGCCAGAATGCTCACCACACATCAGCTATCAGTAGGGAGGAGAACAGAGTGATGAAACCAATTCATAGACGGGGATTATTAGGAGGTCATGATTGGTAAAGGCCAATGGGAAATTTGGCCAGGACACCTACAGTAGGTAACATCTCTACTCTTTTTGAGTATTGACCTGGGATTGTTAATGACCACAGAGAGTCAGAACATAGGTTTTACGTCTCATCCGAATGACAGCACCCTTTTACAGTATATTGTCCCCATCACTATACTGGGGCATTAGGACCCCCACACACCAAAGGGTTAGTGCCCCCTGCTGGCCCCCCTAACACTTCTTCCAGCAGCAACCTTAGTTTTTCCCAGGAGGTTTCCCATCCAGGTACTGACCTCACACTTGCTTAGCTTCAATAGTGTGCCAGTTGCAAGGGTGATATGGCTACTGGCAAATTATTGCTAATTGTTTGTAGGGTACATTAGCAACTAGTGCATTATTGTATTGTCTGTTCTAAGAATGCCAATTGAGTCTTCATTGTGATGTTCTAAGCTCCATCATGCATAAAAATAAGACCCGATCTAAGATGTAGATCATTATGTATATCTTGAGGGGGAAATGTCACAGTAGTGACAGTTTGCAGGTCCTAAAGCTGACTACGCCTCCTTGATTTTTTTAAAGGTGCTAGGACCCTGCTCCCTGCATAGACTGTCAGAATCCCCTTGAGTCACTAGTGTACCCACAGACCAGCACAAGTCAAGTATATTAGATATTTGTGGTTTTATTCTTCTTTCGCACTTAAGTAAGAAAAGGAATTTCGCAATTCTACTTCAGTGGTCTACAGCATCCTCCGTTATTTTGACCATGTCAGACAGGTTGTTCTGTTATACTTTCCCTGCCCTGCTGTCTGCAACAAACGGGGGAAGAAGAGAGTGACCAAACACCTCTCATCTCTACTGATTGAGACTCATATACAGTACAGTATGTTATTTCTGGCCAGAACTTCCAGACTTAAATAAGGGGCAGTAATAAACGATCATGAGGGTACAAAGTCAGGGACACGAACATAGCAGGGACCTTCTCGCAGAACCAGCTGTAAACAATGAATGCAACTTGAAGAACTGTCTCTATGAAGATGAACAGTGAGTCGCGGTGCTGTCCCTCCTTTTTCTTTTGTTTTTCCTCTTGGTCCCTCTTTTCCAGTGTTGCCCTACTCTGCACTCTCACATGTCTAATGTGTCCCCTCTGACTGTACGTATAATTTACGGGTGTCTAGGTAAACAATGTGCTGTATTGTTGGTGCTAGGCAGCAGAAAGACTTTAAAGGGAGAGGGAAATTGATACAAAAGCACTGGCCATCTGTTTTATATTATAAACAGAACCCCCAAGTCACTATCCTACTCCCCCTTTTGTCACCCCGTGACATATACTGTACTGCGCTGTAGCAGTCTTTCAGTCATCCCACTGTGAGTGTAGAGTGAACCTGTTTAGAAATGAATGCAAGGTTAAATGAATAGGGCACAAAAATACAGCTGGGAGGAAACAGAACATGTATTTCTGTTAATTTGCCACCAAAGCCAATATTTTATACATATTTACAATGCCAACAACACATGATAACACTATGCTGATATGATTCAGGTTACTTTACATAAAACCAATTTCATACAGACATCCAGGATTTGACATCCAAGTCAGTTCAGAAGCTCTACTGTAGCTAACTAAATGCAATAGCTTGGGAGCTAGCAAGTTATTTATTTGAGATTGTACTGAGAAGCAATATGAATCGTTTAAGTTAATCTCAGTGGCAAAATTAATTCACAGAAATATGTAAATATAAAAAATATGTACTGATATGGAAGAACCATTTATTTCTAAAAAATGGGTATTGAATATATGTTCATATATGTGGAATACATATATTGTTTAATATCCATACTATTTATCTGCTAATTGCACAATGCTTGAAAATATTTAACAAAACATATGATCAAAAATACTAAAACTTGACCAGATATGCAATGTAAAAATCTCTTCCTACAAAAAATTTAAGGTTGTTTTTGCAATAACTGCAAGTAAAGTTCATCAGCTTTGCTTTTATTTCTTATTGAACAAACAAAAAACCTTAGTAAAACAATGCACAGTGGTACAGTATGTGGTTTAGAAACCCATGCTCAATATTTTAAAATGTGCATAAATATAATATAATACACTCTAGTACCAAATACATCAAATGAAAATATTTTGATTGTGAATAGTATTACATATATGTTTAATATCTGATTGGCCTATAAAGAGACTGGTGCTTTTGGATCCTCTTGTGATGATCTTACAAACTAGCAATTTACCAAAGGTTGCCTTGTTGTTGTTGTGCTGTCTGTCACTAGCACATATTTTTGTGTTTCACCATGGAATTTAAATATATCTTTAGAATTTTTACAAATATAATGCATTTTGGAGTTAAAAGTAACATTTAAAGGTATAATTTATGTTTTAGTTGTCTGGAATGTGAATATAGCTAGCATATCTAAGTATTCAAATTAGTAGTATTTAAAGTTTGTGTTTTTCCTACATATGTTTGACATATTCACTTAATTTTAATTAATCACCCCCAAAAATAAAATATACTGTCAATCATATATTTAAAATTATTTTATTTTTTTCTGGACAGGTAGTTCTCAATAAGTGTTTTGTCAGTTAACTTCATGAAATAGAATTTGATTTCAAAAGCCATTTAGTGCTAGCCCAATATCAGACTTACTTGTTAAGTCTTGAATTATAAATGATAGGATTTAATAGAAAATTATAAAGTTTATAACATTTAAAACTTGTTGTTCTCATTTTAGCTAAAACAAAGGCATTTGGATGCTTTTCTAAATGAACAGGACCCATGCTTCCTGCAATATGCAAGTGCTCTGAATGAAAACAGTCAGGATATGTGAATGTTTTTTGTCCATGGTGGAAGATGAAGGTGTTTTTGAATTATTTACACAATTGCATTTGGGATAAATCTGCCCTTAATAACCCTTACTTCACAACATTAATGGGGTGAAAATATGCCAAAAGTCAAAACCAGCATAAAGTCCATTGACAGCATAGCATTAACAGCTGACTTTCTGGACAAGCATTGCCAGAAGCCTATTGTGGGGTGACCTACAGTAACACTTTGTTAAGTACAAAGCTACACAACTTGAGGAATGACACAGATCAGCTTGTATAAGATAAGAGATAAGAGCACTTTATTAGCCATATACAATTTCTTGCATTAGGAATTCATCTTTTCACATACCCCAGCTTGCTCTCCATGAGACACAGGCACACAGACAGGGAGAGAAGCTTGGTGTCAGAGTGCAGGGTCAGCCATTGTACAGCACCCCTGGAGCAGTTGGGATTAAGGGCCTTGCTCAAGGGCCCAACGGAGTAGGTATTCCTCTGCCGGCCACGGGATTTGAACTAGCAACCTTCCAGCCACAGGTGCAGATCCTTGGTATAAATGAAAGGATAGGAGAAATTCTGTCAGGATTTGAAATTCCTGCAAGTAAGGGACTAGTTATAGTTTATGATATTTGTGCTAATACTTTAAAGAGGCAGATATAAAAATGCTTCAGGAGAGGCAGAGTTGGTTGACTGGTAATCACAAATACATCAGCATCAGCAAAGTCATTTAAAGTTGAAAATTTCAAAAAGACTGAACTTGCAAGTAGCAAACTGCTAATGAAGCACAAACATGATTCAATATCTGAAATACTACAATTATGTTTTAAAATGTTTTTTCATTTTTTTTGGAAACAATAACAATTATATTAATAATCAAGAAATAGATTAAAACAAGCTCCACTTCCTCCTGACCAGCCTATAGTTGCAAAAATGATATACAGATAATATACAGTAAAACAATTTTTACAAAAAAATAATAATGATTTACATTACAGTTGACTCCCATGATCTAATAGCCTATATCTTGACACCAAGGATATGGGTTGTGGAAAGTTCCAGAAATAAAATGTCCAACAATAAAAAAGACCCATTGACGTCAAGGGAGAGTACCAGACATCAGCGAAGGCAATTCTGTCTTTTTTTTTTGGCTGCCGTAGTTCTTGCTAACCATATCCTTTTTGCGAGATGGCAAACTTCAAAGATGAATCATCATACAATATAAGTGTCCAGTGGATATATTTCTTTAGCATCTTCCAAAACATGGTGAAAGAAGGATAGATTTAATGTTTTTAAAGAATACTCTGTTGCAGTTATTCAGATTATCAAGTAAAAATTCAATTGAATATTTAAAGACCTAAATACATATTTGCAGCACTACTCACTACAACCGCTAACATGCTAATGAATACCAAGAAAAGATCATATTATACTGCAAGCTATTAGTTTTCCCATTTTACTGTACCATTTTGCAACACAGTGCCATTCAAGTTTCAAGTCAAACTGCATTGCTTTTGAATGCCAGATGTGTTCTGTGAGTGCTGAGGAGATATCAGGGCATTGTAGTCTGTAAATAGTCAATTTAACTTGATTTCATAGTTATCACAATTAATGCAGTTTTTATTTTTTTTATTCTAGGAAATATTCTAGGTGCTGGGCTAGTTTGTAGTATTTTTAAGAAGTTGATTACAATTAGCTTCCTTTGTAATTGAAATTATTGTAAATTATTTGTAAAACATCACTGTGCCTATTGTGCATTGAGAACAAACAATTTCAGTCAGCCTGTGAGCTGACACTTATTTGAACATTTGCAATGTTTAGAAATGCTTTGTGGAGCTTTATTTTGTAATCTTCGTGCGAATTCCCTAGCATTTTGCGTCTTGGGCTATCCTTTCTAAATTGTACCTGCAGTGTATGTGCATTTTATTAAAGTTAACTAAATTAGACTATGAGCATATGTGTTAGCTTTCCAGGACAGGACACACTTGCATGATTTCTTACACGCATCAGATTGTAACTACAGAGGCAATAAGGCTCTCTGTATAATTTGTACGTAAGTGTACTTCTGTGGCAAATGTGTGCTTTAACAAAGATTCACCTCAGCCTTCACAGGGAAAATGTATTTTGTGACAGATTAGCTTGCTTCTCTTAATTCTACTGTTTTCAGAAACAATAATAATGATAGTAAAAAATGCCTTTGCAGTTTGGTGTGCAGTAGTTGCTTTCTCATGCATAGATCGAACTCTTAACATTACTGTATATATCTTCTAGCATCAGATTTATCAACAGCTTCATATCGGTGAAAATACTCTAGAAACAATTCATTCATTCTATATGCTCTAAGGGGAGCATGTTACTATACAGGTATGAAACGTTGTAGTCTCTATCCATTGGACCTTTATCCTGATGATTTGTTTTCAATAGTGCTTCATACAGGTACTGTACATGTTAATGCACTCCATGAGTTGCCAGCAGACCACACTGCATGAAGGTACAGGAGATAAGCAAATTTGCCTTAGGTTTGTATGATCCTTTGGAACCTTTTTTCCTAACTGGGAGAATATTTTGCTCCGGTGTCAAAAACTTTAAATATTACCCCTACAGTCTTCAAACAGGGCAAAATATTAAAAAATATATATGTATTGAGTCCTGAGTGCTTTGATTAATGCACTTTATCATTTTTAAGGATTCTGCCAAGGATTTGGCTAGGAAGTTGCCCACGTCAGCTAGAACACGTGACGGTAAAAATGAAGCACGAACTTGGAGTGACTGCAGTGATGAACTTCCAGACTGAATGGGATGTGGTCCAGAACTCCTCGGGGTGCAGACGTAAGAAATCTGAAGCCATGACCCCAGACACCATGATGGAACTGTACAGAGATTATGGGTTGGTATATGTGTGGATTCCAACCCCAGATATGAGCACTGAAGGTAAACCTTGTCATGGTTTTACACAATAATAGACAACTGTTTTCTGTGTTCTCTGCTAAAGGATTTATTTTATATTTTGTAGAGTTCAGTTGCGATCTGTTGATATACCAAAACTTCACCTGGAATAGCTTACTGAAACAGACTTGCTTGGTCAAGGCACTGTGTCTGAAAAAAAAATATTCCTCAATAGGTCTTCAGGTGTTATTTTGGTTTCTTCATTAATCTGACTAAATTATCTAGTGCAATATGTACATATGTTGTCATTTTAGAATGAATGCAACATCATATGGTCTAAAAAAGAACTATAAATACAGTCACAATATGGAAAGTAATAGATTTAATTAAAATTCAACCAAGCTAAATTTTCAGGCAAGCCATCAATTTTCACTGTAGTTGGTAGATAACTTATTTTAATTTTTACTTCTTATCCAGTGTTAAGTTCTTTTCACTGCTTATTAGTCATCTCTCAAAACATACTGCATAGCAAATCATCAATTAATAGGTGGCCAGTCATAGTATCAGCATAAATAACATCTACTGCAACACCAGCACTCCTGTTACTTGTCTGCAGTTTGACAGATTTCCTTTCATAAGTGCTGTTAACGGCTGAGAAAAGCCCTAGAGGGCAAGGCTTTCTATATAAAAATTTAATATTTATTATTTCACTCTTTGCTGGTTTATTTTTTGTGTTTGACAGCTCTAAAGGGAAGTTAAACAGGCCTCTCAGTAAGCAACGCTAGAGCTATTTGGTTGCTCAGTCTAGGGCAACTTCTTCATTCTTACCAATCCTTTGAAGCTAATAAAGAAGATTGTTTAGGTTCAGTTCAGTTACAGAAAGTGTAGCACTGTGAAGTGAATTACAAAAAGAATAAAAAAGCATGGTCGAGCATACACAGTGGGAACTTCAGTACTGCCACAGTACGTGCATGGTAAAAGCATGTGAAAACTGAGAAGGTACTGTACTGTGTAAATTTCTCATGGTAAATCGGTAAGACATTAAATATAGGGTTACGAATGTAATTGATAAACCTTTCATAAGTTGAATATATTAATAAAATGTTAACAGTGTAACATGAATCTGATAACCAAGCTGTACTGTAGATTCATTACATGTTACAAAAACCTAATGTTGACCATAGCCTGATACACACCCTTGGGTAACAAACACACCCTTGACTTATTATTCATTTCTGAAGTGTAATTTTGCAGCTCCTAAAATAAAGGTAGATTTTCATGAGGAAAATCAAATGTATACTGTTCTGCAGGTAGGACCCGGATGCTCCCCCAGGCTGTCTTCCTCCTCCACGGTCTCTTGGAGAATGGACACACAGTCTATGTCCACTGCAATGCTGGGGTGGGCAGGTCCACGGCGGCAGTGTGTGGGTACCTCATGTACATCGCAGGGTGGAGTCTGAGGAAAGTGCAGTACTATGTGACGGCAAAAAGAGCGGCAGTCTACATTGACGAGGAAGCTCTCGTTCGTGCCCAGGAAGACTTCTACCAGAAGTTTGGACATCTTCGCTCATCCATTGGCTTTAGTCCTCAAAGTTGAATGCACATTTTACTGTAGTTACACAGAATCTAGTTGCACCTTACTGCTGTCTTTGTAATGGTTTCAGCTTCTCTCTAGAGCTACTGTAATTACATTGTAGTAGGCTGTAAATCAATTAATATTTGTTTTAATCTAGCCTCTTACGTTTTTGAGGTTAGTATTTGTATAGTTGTTTGAAACCTACCTTTTTTAGGTCTTTAGTCATTTGTGTCATCAGGACACCAGTAATGTTCACAGGGCCATAAATGATGAAGTTTTGCAAGCAGAACTATTAGACTAGTTTTGACAGATTTATTCCCAAGTTAAGTAAGGCTGGTAACACATACTACCTCACAAACGTAAATACAAAAATAGTCTCATTGAAACTTGAACCTAATAATGTCATGCTAGCATGCTTAAATTGGCATTCTAACAAGACAATCACCATACAAGCTCTAGTATTATTATGTCATATAGAATAGATTCTAAAATTAAATGCCAATGTTTTAGCATTCAGTGTAGGGAAAAAATAAAAAGAGTAATATAAAGTTAAATAGATGAAGAAATGAATGAGCTGCAATCAACAGCAGATGGAAAAGTGAGATATACAGTATTATTTATATTCATTTTCATTTTTGTTTGGTAATCCCATAAGTATTCTGTATGTTAAATACTTTTGATTTGAAAGTTTCCAAATTATAGAATAAACATAGCAAATATAAGACAAGGTGCCCCTTATGTTTTTTCCAAAGTTCCACTGTGCTGTATTAGTATATATATTATATACATATTAGGGAAATTAAAATGTGGATGACTGATTTTTCACTAATTTATATGAAATGTAAATTGAGGGTAACGATCTGGGTTTCTTTGTCTGCTATATCTCAGAAGAAACAGATTAGAACAAATTTTGTCTGCCTTCAATGTAATGGTCAAAACTATTTACCTGCTTTTTAGTGTAAAAATATGATTTCAGTGTTTACAATGTCCAGGACATTACTGCTTTTCTTTTATTGTCATTTTTTTATTTGAAGAAAAGGATTTTATCAGTTTTTCTTCATGTACTGTAGATCAAAGGAAGAAATACTAAAACCACCCAGCTTGGGCCATCAGACTTTAAAAAGGTTATTGCTGCTTGGAATTTAATTATGTAAATGTAAAACAACAGCCTGCCTGAATTCATTTCAGTACAGGCAGGTTTAAAAATCTTTATTTTGGAAAAAAGATCTGGGGAGAACTGACTGATGTATTCAAAATCCTGAAAGGATTTGTTAAAATAAGTCTAAGCTAATATTTCATAGTCAACACAGGAAACAAATGGATATGAAGTGTAGGTTCAATTAAGTCTAAGAAACAATTCTCTATACACATTGTGGGAATGGAACAAACAGCCAGGGCATATTATGGGTGATGACTTACCAGGGCTCTTCAGGAAGCAACTTGATGAGGTTTTTGGATCAATAAGCTACTAAAAACTGATGAAGCAAGGAGGAGTAGTGGTCCCAGCTCTGTTATCCTCTGGTTTGAAATTTCTGGTTATCTTATGTTTTTTAATTCACAAGATTCATCTTGTATGACTTTTCATACGATCATTGTGATTTAGCTGAGAGGTTAAATTTTGTTCCTAAATCGTTTTTTAAGTTTTTAGTGAGTTATCATCCTTGAGGCAGTTGCAATCTATTTGTGCACTAGAAGTTCTGCAATTCCTTTCAGAAACGTTTGGTGTAAAATATCAACAAAACATAAAAAAGATGAGGTTTAATGTTTTATAAAGTCCATAGAGTGTCCTGATTTTGTTGTGCTCTGCTCCTTTAGGTAAACAAATATCAATTCATTTTTGGGAAGGTTAAAGAGAAATTTAGAGCAGCTTTTTATATAATAATTACTGGAATTACAAGAGACGTTGTATAGGTACCACAGAATGTAATTGGTCTTCTTTCATTCTGAATCCCAATAATGCATTGATTAAATTTCAGATTTTACTTCATCAAATGCCTAAAAAATGAATCAATGATCTTTGTTGGTCAGTTGTTAAATTCCTTTATCTGGCTTTACCATCGACAACTTAAAATTAGCATGGTAAAGTTTAAGATTCATGAGTTTTGTTCATTGCTAAAAAACTTTTGATCATGAATAATAATTTTGAACATTTGATCATGAATAAAAGAAAGTATCTAACATAAGTTGTAAATATAAGAAGCAGAGAGAATTTTGATATACATTAAGCTTGTATCATACCTCCAAAATACTGTATTTATTTATATGATATATTTATATTTTAAAAGCTTTTAAACTGACCAGCTTTTCATTCATTATATATTCTCAGAATTATATGTTTCAGAAAACATATACATTTTTTATATCCTTCAATAATACAAAAATTAAAATAACCTAAATGTAATTTGCCTTTTTTTGTTATGATTCTGAGTTTGGCTCTTTAAAGATTCTACCATCTGTTTCTAATCTCAGCAGGGTTACGAAGGAAGCGGTGTACATCTTAAATCCTGGCTGAGTTACTTTTTTTGCATCATGAGACGAAGATGCCTTTTAAGCACGATGATAACAAGAATCTAAAACACAGGGAATACACCAGATAGTGTAGGATCTTAATTGTCTCTGCTGAGGGGAAGATTAGAGACCCTTTGAGAAATGAATATTCAGACAGCCAGATAAGTGTGGAAAGCAAGCAAAATAAGCCAAAAGTGAAAGGAGTTGCTTTAAGTGTGTGTGTTGAGTAGAACAAATCTCTTAAAACCTGCAAAACCAGAGCATAAATACATTTACTTTGTTTAATATTCTGTTCATTAGTGGATTAATATATTTAAATAAAATCTGTAATAACTTGGTGTACTGATTCTTAACTTGCTTCTGAATAAACAGCTGTGTGGGGCACAGCAAGAGTGAATCTTAGGATGAAGGATCATATGGTATAGTTAATGACTAGATACAGTACTCGATTTTTAATAAACTATCTTTAACTTTCCTATTAATATACAGAGGGTTTTAACATGAAGCATTTGGCACTTTTATATTTGAATAAAATCCCAGATTTTATCCCAATGGTTATAACCAATGTATGTGGTCAAATAACATTCGTTTCATACTACTTTCCATTTGGATTGAGATCTGGGGATTGTTCTTACCAGGAAAGGTGATCTTGTACTGAATGCCTCAAGGCTTTGGGCGTGTGTTAATTGTAGTTGGTGAGCATTCAGATCATTTGTGCTTTCTTCCTTCTAACACCCCCTGAGAAGATCTCAGTGACCCCTTTACTGCAGCATATTCATTGTGATTATGGCTATATTGTTCTTAACAGAATATTCCATCAAGGAAATCACTTTCTTCACCAGCAGTGATTTTCAAAGCCTTCCCCCCCATGGTTTCCATTTGCAAGGCCCCGTCTGGTTTCACAATGTTGTCATCAATCCTTATCAGATTCCTATACTCGGCAATAGAGAGAACCTACAGTCACACGTACCCCATGAGGTACATAATCGTTTATCATAATAAAACTTTTGTGTTTTGCACTGTTGAGCCTGCACCCACAAGTAGATTAATCAGAAAAGCAACACTGACTGATGATCTTGCTGTACATTGTAAGTGTTGTCTATTTTTGCACAAGGTTTACAGAGAATAATATCTTATGAATATCGTCTGGCACAAGCACCAAATTAATTGGTTTTAGGGTGTATACTGTATGTCTTGGGTGATAAAAAGCAAATGAATAACTTAGGTGGGTAGCTGCGTCAGCATGCGTAGGCTGCAAAGGAACAAGTAATAGGTTTATTCCATGCTGAAAAAAAGAAGAAAGAGAACACAACGTTTCGGCCGTGGAGCCTTCTTCAGGTGTCACCTGAAGAAGGAACACCTGAAGGAACGCCTGAAGAAGGTTCCACGGCCGAAATGTTGTGTTCTCTTTCTTCTTTTTTTCAGCATGGAATAAACCTATTACTTGTTCAAATGAAAAACTTATATTACTATTTGAAATTTATGAAAAATATGAAGTTACAAAAACACTTTTGTTAGCATAAACTGGATTTATGTACTGCAAGTGTGGTGGGAATGCTGCTACATGTCCCTTAAGTGGTGTTGCTTTTTGTGAAATAGGTCCCCTCCTACACATACAGTAAGACACTTTGATCTCTTGGGAGGAAAGGCATTATATGCTTATAAGATACTATTATAAATTGGGTTGTGAAAACTAATGCTTTAAATGTATATTAAGCATTAAAAATGTAACTAATGCTATTACTTCCAATGCTCATGTTAAATTTTTAATGTATCTGAATATGCTGTATGTATAAACTGTCATGACTATTTTGTGAACTTTTTTATTCATTTTTATATTTTACAAAAACAGCAAAAAAGAGAAAAGCAGCATAATTTAGCAACTATGAAAGATAGAAGAAGGGTGTTAGAAAAGCAAAAAAAGATTATTGCAAAGGAAGATTAAATAATACATTTTTTACAATTACTGTACAAAAGTAAAAGAACAGTAAAGCACTGTTCTAAAGCAAACTAAGAAATGGGAAACGTCTAGACCAGTGGTTCTCAAACTGTGGTACGCGTACCGGCAGTGGTACCTGGCGTGACCCTGGAACTGTGTTGTGTGCGCTGAAAAAATCGGGATGGGTTTTCATATTTTGTATTTTTATACGTGTCGAATACGCAGCCTACGTACTACGATACAGTGCGCGCTAATACTTCAGTGGACACAAGAGATACTCTGTAATTCTATACCACTCTATAGGAATGCGTGCTACAGACGCAAGTGACCAATTGTATTTAAAAAAAGCTACTGTATCTCCAGCAAATAGGGAGAAAGGAGAATGTGCATGATTTTGGAACAATGCCAACGTTGTAAACACAGGAATGCATAGAAATGCGTGCTACGAACGCTGGTGATCTTGTGAGCCCAGGAAAACGTTAAAAATAACAGAAAAACATTTAAGACATTCTGTTCTGTAAGCCGCTACCAACAGGAACTACAGGAGAGCACGTATTTCAGCTTCTGAATGAATTTATCGAAGAGAATGGCATGGACTGGATAAAATGTGTCGGAGTTTGTACAGACGGTGCTAGAGCAATGACAAGCTGACACAGCGGTGTAGTTGCACGAATTAGAGAGGTTGCTCCAGAAATTAATGGTTTCATTGCAACATCCACCGCGAGACCTTTGTCGTCAAGAAAATGCCTGACGATTTAAAATCTGTTAAGACTGTTGTGAATTGTATCAAGGCTCGAAAAATTAATTCACATCTGCTTTGCTCGACTAAAAAGGCTCACCCCTCTCACTGAAATGGTGCTTTTTTATTTTGTTTTTATATGTTGTTTTTTTTCTGTTAAACACTTTGAGAAGCCACATTTTAATATATCAAACAAAGTTTATTATTATAATTTTTATTATATGTATGTGTGAGTGTGTGTGCACATGCGCTCATGTTGGTCATTGATAATTTCTGGGGTTCTTATGAGATGATGACTTGTAGGTGGTACTTGGATGCTTTGGTTGGATTAGGGGTGGTACTTGGTCCAAAAAGTTTGAGAACCACTGGTCTAGACAATGAAAGTTACATTTTCTGTGTGAATTCACATTTCATTCAGGTGTTCACAGATGATCAATTCCATAACATGCCTCAGACTGAGGAAGGACAAAGTTCTATATTTAATAATATTATCTTAGAAGTCATAACTTAGAAGTTACTAGCTTCTAGATACTAGC